GTCAAGCGCTCTACCAGTTCACTCCCAGAACACTTCAGTATTGTTCTATATCCTAAAAAAAAATAAAATATAGCTAGCAGAGAATTATTTCTCTTTTTGGTCCCCTAGGATTTACATGGATAGCTCCTATTAACACTTATCAGAGTTAAGGGCAGAAATCCCCCATGGACAGCCAGCCATTTTGTCTAGGGATATGTCCATAATTAATATGTTCTAAGAGTCTAATTTTGAAACAAAGTAATAAGGCTTAAGATGAGTTATATTAAGATCAACAAACCCCTGACTGCATATTTTCCTATATATATACTGTATCCAATGTCAGACCGATGTATAGTTTACAAGACAATTTCTGATAAAACAAGCTATATCTTAGCTCTATTTGGAAGCATGAAGTATGACTATACAAGAAGAAAAGAACTACAGTGGGGTTTGTTTTCTTTATTTCTTACTCTTCTTTCTAGCATATTGTTATTATAAACTTTAATGCTCATCATTGTTCTTTTTCACGTCGTAGCGCCCAGGCTCAGCAAAGCTAACATAAGCCTCACACTTCTGATGTTACAAACTAAAATTACCATGCAGCGCCGTGGGAATATTTGTGATGTCAAAGAGCAGAATGGATACTTTGTGACAAGTACATGGAGGAGAAAAGAGGAAGCTAGATGGCTTGAACATAAGTTCAAGGTTTTGCAAGTAAGAGATGTTGTAATGGGACAAGGAATGCAAAATAATAGAATTATGCCAACAGAATTTGGTTTCAGTATTATTTAGGATTTCTGTCTCTGAGAGAGGTATTTTCAAGTCTGTGGCTGCTAATGCTCCAGCACAATTGATGTGCAAATCATACGTAATGTATTATAGAACACAGTATATTAACTCAGCTTCAAAGTGTTAATATGTCATGAAACTTAACTCAGATATCACAGATTATGCAAAGGAGGCAGAGGTGTGGAAACACTCTTGTTTTTCAAAGGTGTCAGCCAGACTTTGCTTTGTGTCACCCAGCCTAAGAGGACATAGCAGCAGCTTGCTCTAAACCTCTTTCACAGAGACCACAAACAGCCTTTACCAAAGCTTCTTTGGAAGCAGCAGAGGGAAGGCATCCACAGGAAGCTTTGCTTGTGGTATACAGTTTTCCAAATCCCTTTGGAGGAACTTCAGCTGAGGGAAAAGGAGGTCCACTATCTAAGCCTGAAGAAGAGGAGAAGTGTAATCTGCTAAGCCTAAAAGTGCAGTTTAGCTTCTGACACCAACATATCCTTCTTGCATGACCTTGAGCCCTGATGCTTTTAAAAAGAGGCTTGAAGAGATAAGTCTAGTTGTCTCTATGTGTCTTCAACCATAGAAAAGGGAAAATAGAGTACAATTTTTTTTACTTATAGAGATAATTTAGGTAGGTAATATTAAACATTGAAATATTAAGATATTCTGGAGATAGATTAAATATTTAATACAGAGTGACCACTAGCATCCATGTTATTATGGGATATGTAACTTCAGATAAAACACTCAAGGCTTTGAAAGAATGCAATTAGAAAATAATGTTATGCAAAATACTTCATGATTTTATTAATAAATTCTTTAGGATTCCCATGATTTGAAGCAAGAATTTGAAATCTAAACCAAGGATGGTTAGATAAGTGCATTTTTCTTCATAAGTAAAAAATCCACTTACTTGTAATTAAAACACAACTCTGTCTCAGAAACCATACACACACAAACCCAGAAGAACCACGCTAACTCTTGAAACTTTGAGGAATCTACTTTCAGTTGATAACTGTGGGGGCTTAAACCCTCATGATTATCTAGGCTATTTTTTTCTTTTTATCGCTCGTGCTAAGCTGAGGGGAAAAAGGGATGCTTTCAATATTCAGGCTTAACTAACACACTCGCAAGAATAGACTCAATTTAGACTAGCTCGGCATTCTAGCGTATTTGGAGACAAAGAAAAATAAACTAGGACAACAGATGAAGTCCCTGGAATTAAAAACAGCTAACAGAACTGATCACGTCCCTGTACACTAGCTGAGGGAGGACATGTCCCTCCTCAGTGGCCAGTTTGGGGAGGGTGGAAGAAATGAAACAAAGCAAAAAGATGCTGTTTGCAGGAGACAGCTTGCAGGTGGGAGCCATGTGCAGGAGAGAATCTCCCCACATTATAGAGAAATCTTGATATAACTTAAGAATGCAGAAAAGTTATGAGGAGTTGTATTCTTCATCTTTTCATAATCTGTCAAAACTATTCCTCCTATAAGATCAGCATCCAATGCTACCAGTCCCCCCAAAAGAACATTTCTTTGAATATACACTTAGTAAAACACCATTTATGGTGGCTGACAAACAATCTGGGAGACTGTTGAGCCATCCAGTTACAAATATACACCACCAATGCAGAGTTAAACATCTTTTAAAATGATAAAACAACATAACACATCACCAGATCATACTTCACTGTCAGTTTTTCTCTCGGCTACTTCAGGGGACGTTGAGTTCTAGCCTGCACTCACCAGCTTATTCTGTCCCATTCCTTGGTGGCAGGAGCTCCAGGTTCTCCTCATCTTCCCTTGGCTAAGTTAGAACATCCTGATCTCTCTAATGTTCTCCTCACAAGGGCTTGCTTCCTACTTTCTCCTCTAATGGTAATCTCATTCTGGAGTTTCCACCAGATATGGCTGTGAAGGCTTAGTTTTTCCCATGTCCTGCTTTATGCAATTAAACTTAGGATATAATAGAAGACTTAGGATATATAATTAAATCTTAGGTTGTAATAAAAGGGACGCTCTTTTGTTTAAACTCTCTGCCTTACTGTGGCTGCTTCAAATTTGTATTTCTATCATTCTCTAATTAGTATCTCTCTTCTGTCTTTAGGCTGGCTTTTCCTGTTTCTAAGGCTGTGGTAAAAACATCATAAATATTTTAACCTAGAAAAACTGATCACACCAACCCTTTACAAAAGCTACAATGATCAGTTTGCTCTCAGTATTAAATAGAGAATGAAGATGACAATAATATTAACAGAAAATGGGCATGAGAAAGGGGTTACTTGAATGATTTAAACTCTTCTTAGACAGGGCAACTTCTGGGGGCTTCTTCACAATAAATAAAAATCTCTCTCTGAGGCTAATTAGTTCAGGTGTGGCAGCAGTCTGATGAGTCTTGAAGGTGGCTCACCTGGAGTCAGGTATTCACCCACTACCAAACAATATGCACATATTTTTCCCATCTCTCATGCTCTTAACCTTGTTTCAGCAAACACCTTAGCATGCAGGAAAAGCGAAAGCACAGGAGCCGAGACAGCAGCCTCACCAGGATCAAGAGCAAGCCATTAAAATAATAGAAAAGGCAGAAGAATGTGGTAATGAGGAACACATAGGAGTAATTTCCTTCCAATTCCTCTAGCCCATCCATTTTCTCACATCCCTCTGTGACAGCTTTTCAGGTTGTATGGTTTCCTTTCTTTCTGGTTTACCCTGTCAAGTACTTGGATTACAGGTGCTTGTCAATGTGTTGCTGTGTGCTTGCACACCAAGCACAAACCTAGAGAGAGCCAAAGTCTGTTTCCCCAGCATCAGAAACAGTGAAAGGAAGCGAAGTCCCCAGACAAGTCAGCCATCAGCTTTACAGCAGAACACTGCAAAGCACCAGTTCTTTCTTCACCTTTTTTTTCAGTCCAAACCCACTATCATACTCAGTATACTCTTCAGAGAACTAAAAGAATTACTGACAAACACACCTAAACTCCCTTCTCTCATCTAGAAAGCACACATTTTCAAATTCTGTCCACTCATGCAACAAAAAAAAAACGTGTGAAGCTAACATGCTGAAATGGGCTTTCAATTCAAAATAACCCACACATAGAATATATACCTTCAACTTTGTGATAAGCCAGTCAACTGTGCATTAAGCTCTGCTCAGCAAAATCAGTTCCAGCAGAGCTCTGATGGGCATTCAAAATAGATTGCACAACAAATCAAAAATCACCATCGACTTCTTCATTGTGATATGACTCTTGGTTCTTTGAGGCTGGTCCTTGCAGTAATAAATCTATTATGCATCTTTGATGCTACACACCAGCCTCTGCCAGCAAATCCACTTCGAGGATATACCTAATGTTCCAAGGTTTGAGAAGCTTTAGTCTGTATTAATTAATTAAAAAGGAATAATAATTAAAAAAAAAAAGATATCTATGTGCCTTAGGGCAATATTCAGTCTGATCCTACTGACAGCTTTCCTTGCGGCTTTGAAATCCATTACCTTCTGCAAGAATAGGAGCCTTACGGCAGCCTTCAAAAAACAGCTTTTACCTTCCACACAGGAATTGCAGTTCTTCAGTGGCAGATCAAGGTCTCCATGCTGTACAGAACAGCAATTACCCTGTGAATGTAACAAATACACCAGCAAGCTTGTATGAAAAAGAGTATATGTAAAGACAGAAAGCTCTGATAACAGCTGGTCAGAACTCATCCCAGAAACTCTTCTCTGAGCAACAGTTCCTGGGAGAGGGGAGAATTAAAAGAAATCTGGCTGCGCATCTTGCAGTTGCTGAAGTTTGAAATACCAAACACAGTAATTTACTCATAAGGGCTGAGTTGTTCACTTTGTTTGTACAATGGTTGGATTCAGGAGAAATGGAAAATTCCTGCTAAGAATTCCTTCTCCTGGGTCAACTGGACCTAAAAGGATTTAAGAAGAATTGGATGCCTGCTCTAAGGAAAGCCATTAGTGTTAAAGTGCTATCAAAATGTAGACTTCTGAGATCTTCAATGCCGTTTACAGATGCTAGACCAGAACATTAGACACAGACATCTTTGTAAACATTCTGCTACAAAAAGAATCACCCCTTTAACTGGGTACAGAATCTAAACACCACACAATCAAAAAAAACAGGCCAAAATCATGCCAAATCTTTCCCAGAACATTTAATTTTTCAGAGGAGGAGACGATTTAGATCAGTTCAAACCTCAGCGTGCCTTCCATTCATTTAATACGAACACACTTACATGTCAGATTCTCTTTCCGCCTGAGGTGCAGTACCAGTTGTGGGGTTCACACCTCACAGTATGTGTCTGTGTAGTGAGGATAGGTGGATTGCTCAGACAGCCTTCTCCCTCTGCCCATCACCCTTTCCAAAGCAAAAAAAAATGGCTATAAGGTCAGTTCTGAAAGTTGGCTGTTAATTACACAGACTAATTATTAGTCTTTCACCTTAATAGTTAGCAGTTCAAAACTATTTTATTAATCAACCTTGTTACAGGTAGGGACCATTGTAAACTTTGGATATTTTATTTTTGTAAATGCTTTTAGAGTATTTTTTCTTACTAAATCATTGCTGAGGTTTCCAGAGCTGTTGTTATAGAGATTGTAATAGCTTGACACTGCCCATCCCTCTTTTAATTCCAATTCACTATCTAGGTAAATCACTATCTAAAATTGTCAGTATACTCTCCAGATATCGCTATCTAGAATAATCAGGCTCCTAATGTTCAGCAGATACGGTAATAACATACCTAATCTTAAACTTTCATGATAGGATCCCTTTAGGACAGAATAAAAATAAGATTGATGTATTAATATGATAATAAAAAGTTAAAATGAATGAAATACAGCAAAAGTGGAAAGTATGAACCAAAGGAAGAACTATCACATGAGCTGTAATGTGAATTATTGGTTTTGTGTCTATACAATGCCAGTCATATATGTTCTGTAGCCTCTTATGACCCTGCAGAGCATGTATAAAACCTTACTAGATCAAAATTATTCTAATTCCCCACTCAATTTCCACACATGGAAGTGTCTACAGAAGGTGCAAGGCAGGGGAGAGAATGGTCAGTCAGTCGTGTTTTAATTTATAGCTATTTTTGCCTAAGCCCTGAATGGCCTGCCAATTATGAATAGTACCAGCTGGGCTGTCAGGAGACACTGCTAAGAAGGACACACAGAAGAAAATAATATTAGTAATATAAAAATGAAGAGCAGGAGAAATGTTTGGAGTAGGTGAGACCTGATGAGGATCCCAGCTCTGGTGTTAAAATGCCTTGCTACAATCGTATCTTCCCCCCACCCCCAAATAAAAAGAGGATGATAACTGTAATAGTTTTCTGGATATAGGTTTAGACTTTGACTTTTAGGGGTATAATCCAGGTACTTAGTAAGTATAAAAATTGGGACTTTTCTGTACTTAAATAAGCAGCAAAAGGAAGAACTGCATGTGATGATGAGGACAAGAGTCTTTTGAACGGCTGTTGTCTTATTTTCAAATAGCAAATCACTAGCTTCTTTTAAACGGAATGATTTTTATATGAGTTTTATACAAAACATCAAAAAAAAGATTTTTAGTAACATGGCAGCCCTACTGTTTTTAAGAAGCAAATTTCACAGCCCACATCTCAGGGACAATATAGAACATAATATTTTTAAACAAAACCTGATGAATACCCATCAACAGAGTCATGTCTTGAGCAGCTATTGAGAGTACAAATAATAAACACTGGTATTAAAAGACAAAGATTTTGTTCAATTGCTGTTACAATGTCAGTGCTGGATCTACACTGGTATATATATAGAAATATTGCATTTGGCAAAACAGTAGTTTTGGAAACTGATCTGCTTTTCATGACTACTCTTATGTGTGAAAAAATTAAGACATTTACCCCATACTTTATTGTAATCTGCTTATTTGTAGATGCAGATCAGTTTAAAAAGAAGTATATTTATACTCACGCATTTCACTTTATATCAGCATCATAATGATAAATTCTGCAGTAGCCTCTCCTCCTCTCATTTTCATAGCCTTGTAGGAGAGGCAAGGCAGACAAGCCAGTATGAAAAGCCAGCAGACCATAACTCCTCTACTACAGACAAGTGACAATTAATCACATTCACCAGCTAGGCAGGTAGCTCTTGTCCTTTAACACTGGAGGAAACATAAAGCTCCTCTCTCTGAGCACTGATTGTCCAAGTGATATTGGAGCTTTCAGAAGCAGTTACTGAGCCACTGAGATACTTTAAAATGAGGCAAACCAAGACCTAAATATGCCAGTCTTCTGCTGTTTTATTAATCCTTATTTTTTGAGGAGCACTGAAAGCACAAACAACTGCTGGAGTGAAATATTTATCACCATTTGCCCCTGCAAGACCGTAATTTGATTCTCCTGTGCAGGGGTTTGAGGTCCCTAGGGCTCATTAAGCCTCTGACCACAGCACCCCTGCTCAAAGGGGAGCCAGCCCCACTCATGGCTGTGGAAGTACAGCCATTGTAGACTGAGAGACATACACCTCCCTTGGAACAAGAAGGACGGGAACAAGCCGTAACACCATCAAATGTATCTACTGTGGGACTAAGGAGAAAAGGATTATTGCTTTTTTCAGTTTTGCTCTCAAGCAACTAACCTTTCTGGTTTAGCTTTCTCCATATATGCATAACTCATTGATTCATTCTGAAAATTACATAATGCTTTTGAAGTGCAAAGAGAGACTAAAAAGCGTATCTGAAATCTGTGACAGCCATAGCTCATCTGTTTCCTATGGTTCCCTAGCACAGGTTTTATTTCCAAGTGAGTCAGTCACGTTTCAGTGACTGTAACAGAGTTATTTTTGTAAGCCTTCCAAAAACCCGTCAGCTAGGACGCAATGATGTACTGACCCTTTGGAGGGGGAAAGAGTTGCAGATATAATTTCATGAGACCACACTGAAATGTTAAGATTATCTGTGGAATCTCTCCTTTGGTCGCTCAGCAGAACTCAAGCACTTAGAAACCCACCTTTTTGAGAAAAAGATATGGGTCTTATTTTAGCTGGCAAAGATTATTTAACCTAGGACTGCTAAATAAAAAAAACCTCCACATTGCAACTTGATTCCCCAAGTTGAGGGAGCTCCTCATTGGCTTTGCTAACTGAACAGAAATCCCACTCAAAGAAGAAAACTGCAATGAGGACATGTGAAATGAGAAGTCCTGTTTCTTACAGAAGTACACTTATCTCGCTTTCACACAAGCTCCAGCCTCCTGTCAACCCAAAAGCTGTTGAAATGAATATTTGAAGCATGTAGGCTGAAAGTGTAGGCAGAAATGGGTGATGATCAGGGCATGTCAATAATGTCACACAGCTGGAGCACTGCCCAGTCCATGGTGAACAGCTGTTCTCCAAATGACTAATCACACAGGAAGAGGTAGAGCATGAAATTCTCCATTTTTCAGAGAAGTTACTGTTTCTCTGATACCACCTCTTTTAATTATTTTCTCCCTTTCCGTCCAGTTTCATATTGGAACAGTCTAGCCACAATGTGTACAGCAACAATGTGTCTCTGACATGTAAGTGTGAACTTTAAGAGTGCCAATGTTTTGAATTCAACAAATCATCTGGCAGCAGGGCTCCTCTCCAGATGTGGAAGGATTCAGTGATCAGTGAATTAACTTACGAAATTCTTTAAAAACAAAACCAATTTATCAGAGTAACGAAAGGCAATTTATTAGAGTGAAATATTCTTCCTACTACAGTTCACTTACAGGCAGAATATAAAGTTGTTGCTGGGTTCTAAAAAATCTAGCTCAGACTCCAACACATTGCCTATTGAAACCATCACTTCAGTAAAGGACTCACAAAAGCCTAGAGCCAAAGAGGCCCCAAGGTGGTGCATTAGAAACCAAGCTATGAGGTACATCAGTTTGGATGTACCTCACCCGTGCAATCTGGGAGGTAATACTGGGAGGAAATAAAAAAAGAAAAAAACTCAGAATAAAATGTAGGGAATTCTCTTTATTTTGCTCAAAAAAAACCCTGAGTTCATCCATCTAAATGCAATATCATTTCCCAAATGCTTAAAGATAATAGCAGGCAGGATAACAACCATAAAGCAAAACAGAATATAGCTTTCATCATCTCAGAAGTGTTTGAAAACTCAGCCCATGCCAGGACAAAATGGCTGGTATTTGCCTCTAACCATTCCAGCCATCCTATTTTTGAGGATCACAGTGATAAACAGTTCCCTGAAGAATACTGTAATTCTACAGCACTGATGAGCCCAGTATCAATGCCTGTGTTAAGGGCAAGTTCAAAGACTATTCAGTATCTGCTTGATAAGCTTCTCAGAGAGGTCATTAACTAGGACAGTTAGTTATCCTCTTCATGAAAATGTTCTATATTTTTGTTTCCTCATCAAGATCCTTGTTTTAGGGAACCTTCCCTGGCTGCCTAGGTACATCTAAAGGGAAGGGTACCCATATAGCAGTAAGCCAGCGCATGCATATTTTAGCATGTATGGCTAAAGCATGTTTGTGGTTAAGGACTGTTAGCACACATGAGACCAAGAAGTGCTTTTAACTGGCTGAAGCATTAAGCTCTTACAGGACTGAAGAGAAGACAGGAATGCAGTGGCAAACATTTTCAAGGCTTAGGTCTAGTGAGAGAGTTATCCCAGGTGCAAGGTGCCCCTGCCCATGGCAGGGGGGTTGGAACTGGAGGCCCTTTTCTACCCAAACCATTCTATGATTCTATGAAATGCTTTTAGTAGCTCCTGGTGACACTCATCTCCAGTACTTGAGTATTAGGAGTAAACAAAACTAACTAGATGTGTTACCCGAGATCACAAGCATTGGACAGACTATTCATACTGGCAAGACTCAGAGAGTATCTGGGCGTCTCTGAAGGGTGAGTTTGCCCTGTGAAGCAGAGGTAGGTGCATGATCCAGAGGAGCCACAAGTCAGAACCACCAGGAGAAACAGCTACCTAAGTGATGTTCAAAACATGAAAGACAAAAATGAAACCCTGAACATTTTCAGAGCCAGTTTTCCAGTTTACAGCAGGAATAATTTAAGCAGGAGGAAAATGCAGCTGACAAAATCAGCAGGTTATCATTAAAGAGATATGAAGAAAACAAAGGAGAAACCCCAGTCCCTCCAGCCACAGCTGGCAGACAGCTCCCTCCCACCAGCAGCGGGGAAGCGAGGGGGGCCATGGCAGCCGGAGAAGGGCTGACCACTGTGGGGCCTCCCCAGCATATCCACACACCTCCTGACGGTGCCTGTGTCTGACTGGTAGAGATTTAAGCCTTAGGAGTCCTGTCAGGATACACACAGAGCTCTCATCCAGGAGCAAAGATATAGTATAAATCTTTTTATTTTCTC